GCCTCCCAGCAGGAAAGAGTGAGAAAAGCCAGAGTTGGCGGAACCCACTACATACCGAGTACAGTTCTTTAACCTAAACCTCCCTGGGCCTTGGACAGAGATGAGACTAGGCAGAATGAATTTTAGATTAAGCCCCAGGTGATTAGCTCCACCCGGTGAGCGGGGGAAACTCTGCCCAGGGCTCAGTTTGGATTAAAAATCTCCTGGGGAGGTGACGGAATGGGCTGTGTTCCCCCTGGAAATACCTCAGTTGGGGCTAGGGTGGAAAATTTGCACAAACCAGCTTGCAGAAAGAAAAGGCGAGACTATGCAATTAAGGAATAAAGAATATAAGGGATTCGGACAAATTTATATTTGTGCCTGCTATCCCATTAAATATTGATTTAATTTAAATATTGATTGCCATAAAGACCTGTTTGTAGATGCACAGCAGAAACGCTGTTTAAAGAACCCAAGTCTTGCCCAGCTTTTCTCATTATTGGGGGGGGGGTCCCTACAGAATTTGGAGTTTGTAAGGGACTATGGAGATGTATGCATCTAATCCCGTGAATTCACAGATGAGGAAAGAGCTCTAAGAGGTTGCCTGGGGTCACACAGCTCATCTCAGGCCCTGGGAGGTGGGTTCTCTGCCCCAAGCTGGCCTAAACACGTGCTCAAATAATCAGTTCTCTGTAGGCACTATCTCTTCTAGAGGTGATAATGATAATTATTTCAGGATGCACAGAAAATAAAGACTTTGAGCTACAGGCCCATAAACCACTGTTCTCAAGAACTTGAATAATAAATCCAAGCCTTAGACAGAATATAGAGAGGAAAACACATACTTATAAACTAGAAGCACAGTTACAGTCTTTGAATTCCCGTGCTCCTCCCCATTGGTTTGTGTGGATTTGAAATGTGTATTTACAAAGACTAAATTGGGGGAAAACAGACCTCTCATATTTATGTGGCATAATATATATTTTACTGGTAAATTATTCATTGTAATTAGGAAGGATTCATATTAATTTGGGATAATTTACTTTCCCAGAATTTAATTGGGACAACCACATGCTGGCAAAACCGTGTAAGCTGATTTTAATCATAAAACTATTATAATACACATCCCAATACGGCAAGGAGAACTTGTTGTTAAATTACACACACACACATCCTGATGTTGGAATTATTACCTGTAATATATATTATTTTGTCATATATATGTGTTTGTTTTTAACATATAAGCCTCAGTGAGGCTAGACTGTCTTTTCATTTCTGTATTCCTCCATACCTAGCTCCCTGAAAGAAACATAGGGATCTGGAGAAGGAATGAGTGGGAAAAGAGATAAAGGGGAAAGCATTCTATAATTCTAGAATTTCTGGGTTTAAAAAGCTATTCTAAAGCAAAGCAGCAGATACACTTATAAATATCTGAGAGAAAGCCATGTGTGCGAAATCTCGATTTTCTTTCATAACTCTGAAATGACTGAGTTGGAAGAATTCAGGGGTTGTGTCCAGTCCAAACAAAATTAAATTAAAGATAATTAAAGAGAAGAAGACCAGAAGTAAGGGAGGGGGAAGTTTGTATTTTTAAAAAAACTATGATGGTTGATTCATTCAAGTTCCTTGATTACAATGTCCAAGGAAAGATGCAGGTTTCCCTTCATATCTAGAATAATCCCAGTGTTAACTCTAGGGCTATCTGAAGGTGCCCAGTGCAATGTCAGTTCATGCAAATCCAAGACACTGTACAGGCAGTCATCATGGAGACCGTGGAGAGATCCCACTGGTATTTGTGCCGGACCTTAAAGAAGCAAGCAAAGGTGCAATTACTAAATGATCATGTATCCTTGGGGACAGAGTTTGTCCCAGAAAAATTATGAAGTAGGCAAACTCCCCTGTGCTTCAGCGAATTCTTTTCTAAAATTAAGGGAATTGGAATTCAAGAACTCGAAGACGGCTTCACTTTTACACACCATGATGCACCTACTTCACCAAGATGGTGATGATGATAGTCTTGGTTGACCGCCCCCGCTTTCCATACTTCCTTTTCCATATAGTCAACCAATATCTTCCTGTACTGCTTCAAAAGCAAAGTCAAAGTAAACTACACTGGCCTTCAAGCTGGGAGGGTTAATTTGGGACTCTGCCTTTAGAGACCACAAAACTGGTGTTAGTTTTTCCCAACCCTTCACCAAGGCTACCAGACAGTGGGGCCATGGTTGGACTTCAGTGGATCTGCATCACAGAGAGGCAGGCACCTTTCACACCCAGTGAGGACAATCAATGTGTTTTTAACCAGTTGTGCTGATGGCGAGCCTCCTGAAGAGCCACGAGTCCTAGATTCTTTTCTCAGCTATCAAGATGGAAAACAACGGTCAACCATTCAGAGGGAGAGGCAAACTGAGTTAATGAGACTCCAAGACCCATGCTAATCATTGATCAAGTAATGCCACAGTTTTCAATGGCTAAGGATCTCTGGCTTGTTCCAGTTCTTAAGAATCTGTTTAGCACAGTTAATATTTCACAAAATCGAAGAGCTCAGATGTTGGAAAGCCCAAAGGGCTTGGAATCATTAGATTTATTGTTTCAGTTGAGCTCTGTCACTATCTACCTGATAAGGTAGACAGATCACTTCTCTGTGTTTCCGTCTCCACATTTGTAAAGTGAGGGAAGAGAGAGAAGCCCCGAAAACCATTCAGGGGTCTGAGGAAAGAAAACGAGCTAAGAATGATGTTTTAAAAATTATACAAATGAAGGATTTTTTTGTTTTGCTTTGGTCTCCATTTAATTGAAGGTGGGTTAGAGTAGCTTCAAAACAAACCAAAATAGCTCACCTAGAATAAATTGCGCTAGGGAAGGAGAGGAATGGTAGGTATCACAAAAGCAAAGTTGGGGGTGTTTCAGTGTAAGAATAGTGAGACGGAAAAAGACTGGTTTAAACGGAACTTTTGTCAGCTCAGCATTTTAAAAATGAATTAGTCATCATTAATGCACTGGATAGAAGGATTATTAAAAAATCTGCCCAAAAGTATGCTGCATCCCAAAACTGAAAAAGAAAAGAAAAGAAAAGAAAAGAAATGATCCTTTCTCACTTGTGTTTCTTCTTGGGCAACTTGTCCTGACATACTTAGATTTAAAAAAATATATTGATTCACATTGCATTTATTCGTCACCCCTGCCTTCCCATACATATCACACTTTTACTACCAGCAGCACAAAATAACAGGGATGTTGTCCACTTCCACTACGGCTCCCGCGTTCACAAGTGTGGAGCGCTAGCTTTCGGAACGCCCTTCTGATTGGCTGGGCCCATGTCAGTGACATCAACCAACTTACTTTTGATTGGAAGGCTGGTTGCTGGGACTCTAGCGTTTGCAGGAAGTCACTTAACTGTTTGCGAGCTGGAAAACCGAGCCTGAAGTTTTCTTTTGTCACGAGGACGAGCGCCAGTGACTAGGGAAGGTGTGCGCCACGGCCCCGGCCCCGCCAGCTGGACCTCGAGCCGGGAGGCCCGGAGAGGCCACCGGGACCGAGAGGCGCTCCCGAGGAGGAGCGGCGGCCCCCTTCCAGCCTCCCGGCTGTTACCCTTTTAAATGTCAGCGTTCGAGGCTGGAGGGGTAGCACGAGGCAGCGGAACGGAACAGTCGGATTGGCCGCACGCCTCAGTTCTAGACGCACCTCTCCACCGAAAGGCCGTTCTGACTGGCAGGGGGAGAAAGTAAACAGAGTTGAATCACCCTCCCCGCTGGCCAATTGGAGGGGGTTTGGATTGTGACGTGATGGGATTCTGCGAAATTGTTACTGAGCAAGAGAATGCCGGAACGGTGCGGA